AGCTTTTTCACAAAAAAATTATTTAATTTTCTTTTTAGCTAATAATCCATTGATTAACAAGAATAAATCCTTTTTCTACATAAAAAATTATGAAAAACACAATAAGAAATAGTTAAATACAAAATTTTTGATAAAAAAAATTATAAATATTTTTTTCACCTTTGATTTCATATATTTTTATAGATTTACACCATAAAACAAACAATTAAAATGAAATGATTTTATCTATTTTATCCAATCCGTAGCATAGCATGGGGAAAAGATCTAGTTATCATCTAAGAAATAATAAATCAGGAAAACCTCTCCCTTTCATGTTTATAATTTTCTTTTTTTTTTTTCTTTTTGAAAAAAAAATACACTGGACGTTTATATCTTATTTTCAACATTTATATTAGAATTGTTAATAAGATTCATTGAATTCCTTTTTTTTTTTTTTTTCTTTTTTGGATAAGCCAGACTTGGATTCATTAAAGAGATCTTCTATTTTCAAATACTGAAATGCATGTTAAATAATTTTTTGTTAAACATGAAAGAGAGAGTGTTAATACATGGGGGGTCAATGTTCGAAGCAAACATTAAATTTTGTTCACACTTCCATCAATGTGCCAGCGTCCTTTTTAAGCATATAATTTTAAATTCAACAAAAAATTTATAAGAAAATTAGAGAGAGGGGTACCTTTGTCATAAATTTAAAAATTCAAAGATTCCATTGCTTTTTTTTTTTTTTTAATAACACTATAGGGTCCGATGTGACTAAATCATTGAATAATAGGGACCTCTTGAGTAACAGATTCTGGTGGTAAGTATAAAAAATTAAGGTTTCCTGATTTGAGAAAGAAAGCACCATGATTTGAATTATATATATATATATATATATATATATATATATACACACACACCATAATTTGGGAAGACACTCATCATAAAAAAAAAAAAAAATGTAAATAGTTTCTCGAAATCTCATTCCATTGTGTCTTTCACATTTTTTTTTCTGAAGAATTAGACATGATATATATTAAAAAATACCATAATTTGGGAAAACACTCATCATAAAAAATAAAAACGAAATTGGTTAATTCCGGGCAGCCACAAACGGCAGATAGAAGTTTGTTTTGTTTTTTTTTTTTTCACATATGATTTGAAAAAAAAAACATTTTGTTTACATTTGATTCTGACACTGAAACGTTCAAAGAATTATCAGTCCCATAATTACGAATGTATGATGCATCATGATGATTCATGAATTTCTTTATTAGCAAATATGGAGTATCTAATAAAGAACGTCATAAACCATGAAAAAAAAAAAAAAACACCCAATAGGCCCTACTCATTCAGCAAAAAGTCTGAAAATCCTTGCAAACCAACAAAATCCTTTTGTTTCGCAATCAAGCGATTGGACGTTGACAATAGGATCATCGTGCATGATGCAAAGTGATAGAATACAACCAAAAGCAGAACATGAAACTTCATTAGAAAGGTTCCTTTCTTACCCTACATTATTAAAACCAAAAGGTGGTAATGAGAGAGGGACCACAGATCGTGATATCTACCTGCCCTTTCCTTCAGGTAAAATGCATTCATGCATTGTTAATTTTGGGTCAAGAAAAAACCTTGTTTCTGTACAAATGCATGCATGATTTCTAGCATTATTCTTCGAAAGACGTTGGAAAGGAAGCGGAAATTCCATAATTCTTTTCTTTCCCTAATGTTCTCAAATTGAAGTCAAAAAAGAATTCTAGGAGAGACTTGTGAGACTCGTATCACACCCATTATCTTCGTGTAATCTCCACAGACACCAAGAAAAATACCTAAAAGCAAATCGCATTAGGAGAACTAAACCTACCAAAGTCTCTTCAGGTCTTTGTTTGTGTTGTCAGGAATTCATAAAGGAAGCATCACTCGTAACCACTCCAACTAATTGACTCACATCCTAATCAAATCAATTATATGGTATTTTTTTATATGCTCAGTTAGTGTTATCCACGGGGTTACTCGGGATCCTCATATTATAATCCTATTGTCAACACATTATTAGATTTATGTCGACATATTTACTATTCATGACAATCAAGTAGATCAACATGCTAGCTATTATATATATATATATATATATGACAGTCCATTGATCATCTATCAAGTATAGTTGTGTAAATCTATAAGCATATTACGAATTTACATAAATATTTTCAATTTATTTGTTGTAGAGTTTGCACTCATGTTAAAAAAAATCATAAACCAATATATAATTAATCAAATTACTTCATTAATTTTTTTATGGACAAATAGATTATATACATTAATTAAACAAATAGGTGCAATTTTTTAAGGTTACAAGAGGTTGTCTTGAAAGTTTGGACAGGCATTTTCCTGTACAGGGTATACTTTTTTACCCAAAATCTTGACAAGTAACTCGTAATAGAAAAGCTGCATATCATCATATATATGATCGGTGATGTGTTGAATATGTCAGCAAGAGTCACCAACATCTTCATCCCTTTGTAGGGTGCCAAAAAATGGGTGCGGTTTTGAATGTAAAAACCCTAAGAGAAGTTGCGGCGATATTATAAGCTGCAGAACTGAATTCCAACCGTGTTCTCATTGTTCATACTCATTTTACAACCGCTTGATGTCCTGGCCAATCTTTTTAGGCTAAAGTGCAGAAACATCTTTTTTATGATTCCTTGAACTTCAATAAAGGTCAAAACATCAAAGGATTGTCCATTTACAGTCGAGTATTGTGTTTTATCGATTAACAACAAGGAAATGGTGGTGAATTTTTTTTTTTTTTTTGACAGGTCGACATGATCCGTCCTACTTAACGGCAAGTATTATTAGGGTTGATTCGAAAAACTATACCGCTGAATTTAAAATATCAATTCAATTCAGGTTTCAAACTAATTGAGATGTAAAAAATCGAATAAAAAATTAATTTCCATTATTCGAATTCATGTTTTGAAAATTTTCATTCGAATTCATTCAAAACCATATATATATATATATATATATATATATATAGTGAAAGAAAGCCCTAAGACTATATGATCGAAGCAGCCTCTCATTGCAGCCTAAAAAAGAAAAAAGAAAAAAGAAAAAAAAAAAAGAAAAAAAAAAACAGCCCTTCAATTGATCATCGATCCTTCTTCTCACTCTTTATCGAACAAAACAGTACTTTTATCGATCGCTTACCGTTTGTGTCATCTTCTTTCTATCCATCTCTCTTCTGTTTTTAAAATACAAGTCGCCCACCTACCCTCTAGTGCCATCTTTTTCAATCATCGGCCAGTCACAAGTTTACTACCACTATAGCAATCTCTTCCAATCAGCATCGACAATGTTTTCTTTTTTTATTGTTTTTTTTTTTCCATTTTGGTTGGAAATATGAAAAGATTTGATGGGTTCATTTTGATTTGGAGTGGATTGCTTGTTTGCTCAATTTTGTTAATTGAGTGTCTCAATTTTGTGAGTTTTTTAGTTTTAATTTGAATGATGAATGTAATGATGCATGTACAATGAAATGAGTCAAAACCAAAATTTTCAAACATCATATACATACAAAAATTTAGATTTTATCCAAAACTCGAAATTCAAATAGTAATTCTTGTTTATTCAGTACATTTTGGTCTAATACATATTGAGTACATTTTGGTCCTAAACTTTTATAATTAGGCTAACAAGTCCTCAAATAGACAAGAAATTTTACTATATTTTTATTATGTTTTTCCCCATGCAACCTTCAAAGCATTAAATGAGTATACTGAATTTGATCCTAAATATTAAATATCTACATCCTTGTTTATTCAATTTGGAAAAAGAAACAGTAATGTATTTTTAGCCAAAGAAGAGTAGATTATGTCTTGTATCTAGTCCGAATTTAAGCACACAATGCACATCCAGTTAAAGATTGGTAAACCCGAGCCAACTGCACCACAAAATTACAACACTAATGTACTAATTGAGGTATCAAATATAATTAAAAATTTTAGAGTGGCAAGATAATATTATGAAAAAATTACAAGAACAACAATAGCTAGAATTCACAAATCAAATTCGGAAAGGAAAGTAAATTAATGTCAAAGAGAATTGAATAATATAAAAACTTGTAACGTGAAATTATTAGAAAATTATATTTATGGTTTTTCTTATTAATTACGATTATAAAATTAAGGCATTATGAACATAATATGATATTGTCTAATAAATTTTTATATCAAATAATTGTAATATTAACAAAAAATAGAATAATAAATGAAAATGAAATTATTTTAAGGAAATGGGTTAATGATAAATGCTTTCCCACGAAAATGAACAACAAGCTCAAAAAACATATATCTTATCTACTAAATAAACAAGGGCTTTTCGAGGAAAAAATCAATACTTATTTACATAATTTTAAATATTTAGGAACTAATTGATTTTTTTTTTTTTGAGACCTTTTTAAACTTGGTATTAGAGCCTACTAAAGTTATAAATAACTATACAGTAAAACTTAAACGGAGACGAAAAAAGACTAAAAGAAAGAAAAAAAAAACAAGATTCCAATCCTATGGTGGAAAATTGAGAGTGTGATAATGTTATGCTATTGTGTCATCACTTCATAAATCCAAAAAACGAAATGAGAATTATTTATTATTTATTTATTTTACAGTGGAGCTCAAAAGAATTTAGCTTATATAGTAAAGGATAGTTTTTCTTCGTTATATTTTAAATTGCAAAACTAAAATTAAAAATTATCTCATTACAATAAATTAACATTCGTTTATTATTAATTTAAAAACAACATCGTACTTAAAGCTTTGTCTCTTCTTGGAATAAAAAAGAAAAAAAAACAACAACGTTGGAATAAAATTTATCATCGCTTATGAAAAAAAATCTATCATAACAATATTATATCTACCCCATCTTATTATCTTCATATATTCATTTGGCGTGAGCGATACTTCCGGATATTTACGCTGCAATTTTAGCTTTTGCTTGCTTTTGTCTCTTTTCTTTTTTCCAAGGAAAAAAGATTCAAAATCGCCTGCGAAAACAAACTCAGGTGATGCTGACAGTTGGCTTGTCGATGTTGATAAAAGGTTGCCACACATGTGGTTCTCCCTTAAAGGAAGACCCAAATTCTGTGGGACAGTGGAGCTTGACTTGTAAGCTTGAAATATCATTTGATTGGGGACCAAGGATCGATTTGAGTTTTTTTTGTTTTTCTTTTGTGACAAATATTTCTTCTCTTTCGTCCATGAGCAAAGCCAGATCTTTTTTATAAAAACATAATTGCAGGTCTTCCACTTCTGGGGCAACGTCTTGTACCTACCTCAACTAAATTTGCTTTTCTTTTAGAAAAATCAAATATGCTATCTATGCCTTCATTTTGAAATTTGGATTTGAAACATTTTGATTGTGTCAACCAAAAAAATAAAAATAAAATGTACATGTTATTTATTACATACTGAATTGTGGGAATCAAATGGGTTCTTTTTTTTTTTTTTTTTTGGGTGTTAAAGAGAATAAGCAAATTGTTTGATCGAGTCCTGCTAAATGCTTTTGGGAATTAAATGATTTGTTGCTGACTACATTTAAAAATAAGAAATGGAAGAGATTGTTTGATAACATATTTAGGTAGTTTAAAAATTTAAATTATAAAACTTATTGTAAAAAATTTATTTAATAATTTAAATAATCTTATATTTAAATTTTAAATTCAATCAAAATTTACTTAATTAGATAAATTAAAATTTTTAACTTAAAATTTTTTAATTAACACGTTTAGTTGAAAGTTTTTTAAAATTTTTTACATATGATTATATAGTCTTCATATATTCTTACAATACTAATTATATAAACTCATTTAGAAACAATCTTTATAATCTCAATTATCGAAACAACGGAAATCTTCTTCATTATTAGTACTTCTATTCTATCATCGTCAACGAATTACTACTTAAAAGAAAATAATAAGTAAGCATCTCAAATGTGTTTTTATGAAACTAATACATCAAAAGGAAGGGTATGAATTAATTATTAAATAATGATGGTTCAAAGATCCAGTTTGGTATCATATATTGATGAACAGAGAAAAAAACTTTTTAGATCAAGTTTTATTAAATCAAAAATTTGTTGATCGGGTTAGTTCCCCACCTCTCCCTGTAATGGAGCTTTCTTTTTCCACCTAACAAAACAAACGGGCATGGAGTATTACCTTGTTTTTGCTTTCACATGTATCTAATATGTGATTGCCACTGGGATCAAATTTTAGGATATTTTTATAGATTGCCTGTCTTTTATCCAAGATTGACGTTACTTCTGATTGGAGAGGTGGTTAGACGGGGGATCTTTGGTTTCTTCGTCTCCTTTGTTTCCTTCGCCGAGATGGTCAGAAGGGGGTTTTTGGTTTATTCATCTCTTTTTATTTCCTGCATATGCATTCACCAATATTGTCCATACGCAATGATTTTATATTAGTTATGAGAGATATTGGTTGTTTATTTAATTAATTCTTGAGACTGAATTACAAATAAATTGATTAATATTTGAAATTTTATTTATTTTATATATGATATGATAATTAATACTATCTTAAATCGTATTAATTTTTTTTATTAATAATAATTTTTATTGACTTTTTATTTATTTATTTATTTATACATATAAATACATTTATGTATATATATTTTTATTTGTGTTAAAAAATATCATGTTACAATTGTAAGTTTAAAATTATCATATATATAATCTTAATATGTTCAAGTAACAAACAATCTTATCATATTCGATACTTAATTTTTAATAAATACAAAACAGTTTGTTAGCAACATATTCGATACTTAATTATTCAACACTTAAAATTTAATACTTAATAGATTTAACATTTAATTTTAGTTTTATCAAACACCACCTAAGTCTCATGGTCAATGACTGGCTATAATTTTTAATGTAAATAATAATAATAATAATCAGATTAAAGTATACCCTTACTATATGAAAATGGGCTTGACAAAGGGAAGAGCAATAGCTTGTTCCTAGTTGAAAAGGGTATTTTTAGCGGGTTTTAAATCCACGGAAGCTAAAGCGTATTCTATCCATATCTGATCCATTTATTGGTATTAGCTTCGGCCCATTTAGAGTCCATCTGAATTTGCCCTTCATTAATGGCATATTCCAGCTGAAAAAAATTTATTTCATTGTATTCGTGTTAATAGTTGCAGGGCTCCTTCAACTTTTTTTTTTTTTCATCTTTATTGTGTTTTTTCTATTCTTTTATTTAGTTTCTGCTTTAACCTTGCCATTATGTAATTTTTAGACTAATGGTGTTAAATCTATTGTTAGCCTCACAAGATTGAGACACAAGTCAATTTTTTTTTAATCTTATTTCTCCACTTTCTTTTTAATCAAATTTAAATAAATAAATTTTTTAAAATTAAAAAAAGAGAAAAAAATTTAAGATATATCCGATCTTCTCTCAAAAAACTAAAAAAAAAAGCGAAGATAAAAATATTTTTTAATTTAAAATATTCTCTATGGATTTAGATTTATTTCTACGGTAATAAGCAAATTTTGAATATAAAATAAAATATTTATAATATTTTTTTAAAGTGAAGAGAATTTTGATTAAATTTTTAAAATTTTGAATGGTATTTATAATTTTATATTTCCTCAAAAGAGTCTATTATAATTTACTTATTTTAATTTTATAAATTTTCTAATTTGACTAAAAAATAGGAATATAATTTTTTTTTTGAGATTTTATAAATTTCATTGTAAATTTTAGTTTTTTTTTTCTCATCTCAACAAGTGGCTCTAGTGAAAACGATCCAAAAATTTATATTACCAATTTTGAGTCAAATTAACAAAATTTTGTAAAAAAATATAAAAAAGTTTTGGATAAAAAATATTTTTATCTTTATATTTTTTCATTTTTTTTAAAAAAAAATTAGAGAGAATGATCGAATATATCTTTGCCTTTTTTATTCTATTTTTTTTTCTAAAGTCTATTTATTTAAATTAAAAAAAAAGAAGATAACATTGTCACAATCCTATGGAACTAACTATGCTATTTAGTATTGTTAACCTTAAAAGTTAAGAAGTAATGAAATTATGATAAAAACCAAACGTTGAAAAATAAACTTAAGAGAAAAAGAAATAGAAAAATATGATTTAAAAAAAACCTTCTACAACCATTAACCCATTATATGCCTTTAGAAGCTCTTTTGTTTCAATAGAAAAGTTCGAATGGTAAGCCCTTTTGTCAGTTTGTATTTCATTTTTTGTGATAAAAAAGATTTATTATCTTTCGGTTTAAATCTTATCATTAGTATTTATAAAAATTTATTAAATTTATCTAAATAATAAATTAATTAGATTGATTTTTGATATTGATAAAATATAAAATTTAATTCTAATTAATTTATAAATTAATTTGAATTAAAAATACTATTTATTTTTTAATAATTAAAAAAAAGATAGCCCAAAAACTAATGCCCATGAAATGGAAAGGATGTCCTCTGTCAAAGTCCAAATGATTCTATTATCCACGCGCAAAAACGTCCAAGCCATCGTACTTTAAGTCGAACATTGGTAGGAAGCAACCAGAGACCGAATATTTGTTTCAATAGACTTCCAAAATTCAAAGATGGAAGGTTCCTTGCCATTCGCTACAGCCCACACGGCACTTTCCTCGCCTTTTTGTGTCCATGCCACGACAATAGAAATGGCAATGACAACAGGAATGGGAGTGGCAACGGGGCCGTTCAACTTGGTCGCAAACGAGTAGCCATTGAATTCCAAGTTGTCTGCTCTACCGCATCAATTTCTATTAGTCCAATCTGTAACGTTTGGTTTAAGCAAGTATGCTTGAAAATTGCCGAGTAGTTGCTGCTCATCGATTTTGCTCTCAAAACAAAGTAAGTCAGATGCTCTAATTTATGACTGAGAATTTCAAGATAAAATAACATGGGATTCGGTTTCCCCTAACAAGCTATTAGGATTTTTTGTGGATATTCATTTTTTTTTTTCAAAAAAGATAAAATAAAAGGAATGTTATTAATTACAAGAAATAACACTTGAGATATAAAAAGAATTTTGTTAATCGGAAAAGATAAAAATCATTGAAAAAAGTGTAAATATCATAAATCGGAAGATATGACACTTATATCATTAGCCATCGAAACACTCGAAGCCATTTGACCATAATTGGATATGGATTAACACTTTCTAGGTTACACTAACAAAACTATTGAAAGCGATAAATGTTGTCGAACTACTTGCAAGAATGTAAAAGCTAATTGTTACAAGGTAAACTAGAAAACTTGAATAAGTTTGTGTTGAAAAAGTCTTGTATGTTGATTGTGTCTTTTGATTCCGTCGGCGTCTATTTTTTAAATAGCTCACGATTGATAATTGTCTTAGATTTGAAGTTGGGCACGAACGGATATTGGTAACTCGTCCCTTCATTTCCTTCATGCATGTTACTTTGTTAAATCTAACCGATTACAAGACTAAATGCATCGTTTTACTTAAGTTTTATCGTTTTGTCGAGCTTGGTTGGTTTATAAGACCAAATGCATCATCATATTTAAATCTCATTGTTTCGTCGAAACTTGATTGGTTATAAGACTAAACGTACTCGTTTCATTTAGCTCTCACTTGTTTCCTCAAAGCTTGGTTGGTTATAAAACCAAATGCATCGTTTCATTTAGGTCTCACTTGTTTTGTCATAAGAGAATACCATACTTGATCCATGATTGGCTTTTAAAGTTTTGAGGTGCTAACACATGCCCTTCTTTAGCCCTTTAGAGATGAAATGATGAAAATTTCTTTCTCTATTGGGCAAACATTAAATACCGACATAAGTGACGAGATTGCTCGCAATGTTCCATTTTTTAAACAGATTAGCTATAAACATTTTAATGTCTTAGTTATCTAAATACATCATTGGCTCAAAGTTAAAAAAGCCAATTAAAGCTTTTTGCCTTAGGCTATCAACTTAGCTTCACTTGATGGTATGAGTCGAGTCGCTATAGGTCTAATTCTTCTTACATGCACTTATGCAAGACTTCATGATTACATTGTCCAATAGGCTCAAGACTTTATCTTGGCCCTTTTGGTTTGTTTAGGTGTAGGGTGAGTTTTACTTTTTAACTTTGGGTCGATCTCGATCTACCAAAGAATATCTTAATAGATATGGTCACTCGCTTATGTATGAGTTATTGTATCAACTTTCAACTCTTTTGAATGCTCAAAGGACATCCTTGATCCCGAGCATAGACAAGATACATTAGAAGATTGGATGCCATTTCATTCACACAGTTGTGAGGTCATTGTGGTTTTGCTCAAAAAATTACTCCGAAAGGTATAATTTTCTACCAATAAACAATCAACTAGAGTGCGGTCTAAGTAAGTCGAGACTTGACTTACTCTCTTGAAGATCTAGTATTTGTTAAAGCCCTAACTTCGTGCTCGGTAATTTGGATTAATGCAAATGGTGGAAAGACCATTGGTTTCAACTATCAACTAGCCATGGAATTAGGGGAAAGATATTCAAGATTCCCTAGAGTAGCTTGTCGAAGATGGCTTATACCAAAGTGCGGAACATTAATGGCTATCGTCCAAACATTGGAGTGACTTTTTCTTTCACCGTAATATGGATGACATTTTGGGATAATAGCTTCTCTATGGTAGACGGACAAAATTTTTTTTGAGATATTAGTAATATGTCGATAATGAGAAAATCATCATTGACTAAAACTAAACCATCTAAAAAAGCTCGTAAGTCTTTCACCTTTTTTGTTGTCATCGATTTTTTACAAACTATTTTTTTACTCAATTTACTTTTTAAAATAGCCCTAACAAAGAAAGATAGTTCAAAGAAAAAAAAATTGCTTTGCCTCATTCTTCTTTAAAAGATTCAATAAAAGAGGAGTTAACTCAAAAAGTGCATCGACCAACAAAGATGGCTGCAATATTGATTTTAAAACCTATTAATCAACCAACAAAGAGAACTACGATAGTGGTTTTGAAACCTACTTGTTCGATGGGACTAAAGATTAGGAAGACTTTTTTTCCTCCTTTTTCCTTTATGCGGAAGGATAAGAACCCACTAGATGTTCAATCACTTCATACAAGTACCTTTGAATCCTAGAGATTTATCTCTAGAAGAACAAGAAGAGGTAGTACTACAAGAGGCATTAAGGATTTCCATTTGAAAAATCTCTATATTGAAATTTTTATCACCTTTTAGACTTGAAACAATTTATGCTTTTGACACAATTAAAGAGATCAAAAAAAGATTTTCATCGAATGATTTCTCCTCTTCAAGAAATCTTTAGCCAAACCTCAAAATTGAAATTGAAGGATAATGTTTTTGAAATTGATTTGTTTTTATGATTGTGCCATTCAACTGGATAACCTTCGACTTGAACCTAAAGAAGCTCAATTATGAGAGGTGTCTCTATTGTATAAAAAATCTTCTCATGTTAGAGGACTATTCTTAAATTCATTTCCTAGTTAAAGAAGTTAGTGCCATTAAAGGTGTTACTTTCATCAATTATCGATCGTATCATCGTATTGTTAGTCATATTGTCCAACAACTCGACATGATAGAAAAACTATGGTTTGGTTAATTGAATTACATTAATAAACAAAGCATAAATCAAGAAGTAAAATCAATGTTCGCTCTCACTATTTTCTTTAACTTCTACAACCTTCAATATGGAACTTGAAAATTTTTTTTGATTCGTTTTCCTTAATGGGTTAGGATCTCATCCTCTAATAAGTATTGACCTTGAGTTATCTCAATAAATCATACATGAAGGACTAGGTAGGTAACATCTTACCAATTACATATAATATAACCCTTAATCTTATTGGCATGATAACTCTTTGTTATCTCACATCTTATGTGAATACCAATCTTTGCGTATAAATTCGTTGGACCTTGAGTTATATTAATAAATCTAATAATTCATTTCAAGTTGGACCCAAACGTTTGGGGATAATGCAAGGCCCATGATTTGATTTTCTCGAGGAAAAAGTGATCTTGAATTATCTCAATAAATCAACAATGACCAAGGGAGTTCTCTCCATATAATGTTGAAAGGTATATAACTTGATATTTATTTGAAGGATTTAATATGGTGTGGTCTCATTATTTTAATCCTAGCATGCATACTAAAGTTTAATCACATTAACGTCATCCTATCATACATACTAAATATTAATCACATCACAATCACATGCGTGACTTAAGGACCGGTGAATTGAAAATGGATCTCTACTACTAATCTCTTTGAGCCACTTTGAGCCACAAGAAGATTAGTGGATCAAATACCTAGGTGAAAAATTACTATAAATTCTTCAAGATTGTTTTCTCTTCTTGGGTTTTTGTCCTTGCATATATTCTAATAATCTATCTTCAATTTTTATAATTTTTTGAATAAGAAACCTTAAGTTTCATTTGAAGAGACTAAGATAAGAAGAGAAATACATCGAATAATAGAGAGGCGGGGCACATAGGCCTTATCTAACCAAAAATTTACAAGCATACATTCTCAAAAACTAGGTCGACTCATCTATACTATTTACCCTCGCTTCAATCACACCGATACATGACATATAAGCAAATGAAAAATATTTTATTTTAATTATAATTATAAATTTATATTTTTTATCATTTTATAAAATATTAAAATTTCTTTATTTTTCTTTTAATTTTTAAGATTTTTGTGCCTTGGGCCCATGGTCTTTTTAGCCTAGCAGGCCCTCGAGCTATCATGCCTTAGCTAGCTAGTGCCTAGCACTAGCCAACGAGTTATCATTGGCTCGACGTACTCGTGTGCACTCGGCTTGGATACCCATAGGCTAGTGCCTAGCACTTGGCACGTCCGGCCTAGCTCGGCATGAGCGAGTTGGCCAACTAACCTATATCTTGCATTAGGTAATAGCCCCACTAGCTTGGCATATGCTAGGCACGTCCGGCCTATGGTTGGCCTAGCCACTTGTCTTAGCATGCCTACTTGCATGCTTGGCTTGGGCATGCCTAGTGTGTGTGAGGCATGCTTGCGGCTGGCATGCAGCCAACACATGTCCGGGTTGGCCAAAAGCTTGACATGCATGAAGCATGCATGCCTTAGCGGATGCTCAATGTGCACCGGCCCACTTGTTGATACGCGTGCGAGCACGAATGTCCATATTCGGCCTCACGTATGCCAACTAATTGCTAGCCCAAATCAGTTTTAAAAACTATTATAAAATAACAAAAACCCTAGATTTATAACATAAAAACAACAATACATTCGGTTAATCATAATTAATATAATATATAATTAAAGATTCAACGAAGGCTCGATGCCGGCTTAAGGACCATGCATCCTATGAAGTTACGAAATAAACAAAAAAATTTTCTTCATCTAGGGTTCCTAAGATCATGTTGTTAAATTAACTAATCATACATAAATATGAATCGGATTAAGGTGAGTGATTACCTTTTATAGCATAGAAACAATATATATGAAAAGGAACTATCCAAGTGTCCAGTCGCTATTTATTATCCATGCGAGTGAAATCACCCACCCAATAAGCAATAGAAATCATCATATGCTAGATCCAACTATTTTGTATAGTGAATTTTCTCTAAAATTCTTTTTAGGGTAATTTACGCCAACCCTAGTGAGAGAGAGAAGTTAGCCAAATTTTTCAAGGGAGAGAGTGCTCTTTTTTTTTTTTTTTCTTTTTCTAATCTATTATGCCACCTTTCTCTCCCTTTTATTTATAAGGGTGGCAACATCTTTTTGACATACAAGGAGAAGTTGCTTATGTAGCCTTTGTCTAATCTTATCATTGTAAACCTTAAGCCTTATGCAATAGTGCTCAAG